CAACAGATGTTTCCTTTAGGCAGGCACCAGGCGGGAGAGCTTTTGAACACGCAGCCATTTAAACTGGTCTGCACATTATTTCTGCACGAGGAGCCAAATTACTTTTGCTCAATTTAACTTTTTGTTTTTGCAGACCAAAAGATAAGTCAGTGAGACGTTTTACGGGAGATACACCTATACACAAGTCAGGTGCAGTAAGAGTAAAAGTGGGTAATAAGAAACTGAAGCGCAGGTCTGAGAGGCTAGCCTTGACTCAGAAAATAATAATAATATTAATAGTAATAATAATAAACTTCATGTATGTAGCACCTTTTAAAAACAAAGAAAAAAGGGCTTTACAAGATAAGACAGAAAAAAAGGCAAATAAGACATTTAAGAGTAGATGAAGGTGGGACATTAGGTATAGTGTTGCCATTACATAGTTTGTCCAACAGTGGGCAGCGATGACGCCATAAAATACTGCGATTTGAACGGATTTTTGTCAAAATTAAAAGGTAGATATTATTTTGTTTTTATAACAATCAGCTGGCTGAATTTCTTTTCTAATAATGTTCTATAAACACAACACATGATTTTATATGTTTTAAGGGATTGTTAAACGTTGGCTTTGCAGAAGTATCAATATAAGTACAAGTCTCTAAACTCTATCACATGTGAACTTATTACCACAGTAATTAATTGATATTATAATTAAAGAGTAATTAATTAATTAATTAATTAATATTATAATAATTATTAATATTATGTTAATAAAATGATAATAACTACAAATACAAATTTTTCGATATCTAACTGTGAATTTTTTTTTTTATTTAAATTGTTTGAAAAATTTTTCTTACATTTAAAGCTGTCATATTTTAGCCAGCCAACATGCAAAAGTAGGGAAAGCAGTAAATCATCACATCAGAGATCAGAAAACATGCAACTTTTTTGAATATATAGTTAAATCAGTGTTAAGTCAGGTAAACTTTACTATCAAAGAGCTGTTTTGTTGTTGTTTTTTAACAATTTCTGACCAAAAGAAATCTCAAACATGATTGGGCCTTATTATGAACCTGCTGCCCACATAAAAAAAAACCCTTTCAACATTACTAATAGGTGTGAATAATTTAAATCTTTTACCACATATAACAATAGTACAGCAGGCTGGAGGAATATTTTGAATAATACTGTTTATGAAAAAAATGTTTTAACTGTTTACTTTTTCAGGTTTATTTGCCAAAGTAAACAAATTCTTTATTGTCATTTTGCATTTTTGTAAAACAAAACTCTTTCAACGCCAATCTTTTTCACAGCAGCATATGGAATAAATAAAATAAAAAGAATGAAAAGGACTTAGGCACTACTAAACTGGCTATCGCTAAGTTGTCTTTGTTGGAATTGTGTATGACTGCTCATTACTAATTAATAGAAACATGTAAAAGCGAGAGTCTATCCATCCATTTTCTTCCAACTGAGGTCTTAGAGGAAGAGGCAAGTTACACCTTGAACAAGTGACCAGGCTAACGCAGGGCTAACACACAGACAACCAAGTTCCAGAAAAGGGGAGAAGGCAGAGTACCCATGCAGGTACAGGGAGAACATGCAAACTCTACACAGAAGGGTCCATCTGCCTGCTGGAGTTGAACCCAAGACTTTCTTGATGTGAGGCAGCAGTGCTAAACACTGCAAAACTTCTACCACAGTTCTAAAATGTTTGTCTGTAACTATCCTCTGCAGGGCGCTTTGAATCTGATTAGCTTTAATATATTGTACACAGTTTAAAGTATCACACACCACAAGGGACTGTTGTTCTGTGCTATGACACAATATTTTTTTAATGTGATGAAGAATGTAAAGAACCACTTAACCCCCTCAGGCTCAAATTAAACTTTTTGTTGCTAATGCACAACTAAGTCCTGCAGTGGTACTTCTGAGTAAAAAAACTCATAAAATATGTATGTGGGGTAATCAGGTTGTTAGTTTTTAACTGTTGCAAATCGGCAACGCCTGCCTTGAGAGGGTTAAAGGAATAATTTTTTTTTTTTAAATATTCATTTCTACTTTTTATCTAGAGATGGACAAAACAGCCACATTCAGGACCAGCTGCAGGTTCAAGACTCCTGGGTTAAATAATGATTCAGCTGATCGACTGTCGACTATACTACACTATGTTATTCATTTTTAAATCTCATTGTCCAAATTCTTTGCACATGAAAACTAATTTAATTTGTTCAGTTTGGAGGTTTAACCCTCAGGAAGATGGATTAACAGCAAAAATTTAAAGCACAGTGAGCTGATGTGATACAATGATATGACTCTGTCACCGTATATTTAATTTCTAGGTTGCTGCACAATATAAGTGAAGTCCTTATGCCGACCCGTCTGAAGAGTCGGACAGACAACATGCTTATACTGTCGCTCAAGCGGCAGAGTGATGTAGTGATGTATGTAGCGCTCATGCTTGTTGCGATTCTTCCAAAAGAGAAAATGCAGTGATGGTGGGGTTTTTTGATTGGCT